GCGGGACACGGGATGCCCTGAGGGAATGTTGTTACTGTTTTCAGTTTGCTATTTCATTTTCTCCTGTGAGCACACGGTGCCAGGTAAATCACAGTTATTTTGCATTCTCTATTCTGCTCAATAAAACCCAAGAAAAGACAAAGAAGGTGTTCTCCTCACTGTCAGCGTAGGTGCTAGCGCTAGTTAGTTGTCCCAGTATAGGACAGGGTCGGGCAGCTCCTCTCAACCGAGCTAGCGGTCGTCACAGTACCATACTAACTAACCTAAGACATGTAATGTTTATAGGATTATTAAATGTCAGGAGTTGTGAAACACCGAGTTTAAATGTATTTGGTTATGGTGTAAACTTCTGACTTATCAGATTAATTATTAATGGCATAAATCATAGACATACTCACGGTTCCAGTAAACGGGATAGCATTCCTTCTCTCTGATATCCACTTCATAAAGCCCCCCTCTGACACACACTGCCTCCACGCCGTTCCTTATTTCCGAGTCCTCCTGCACCGCCGGCTCCGCCCGGACACCTCCACTGTCCACGGCACCGCTTTCCTGGATCTCGCTGCAACCGACTGCCCCCTTCCCCTCGGCCTCGGCGGATTCGACGGGGCGTTTGACTTTGTCAGGATTCTGTTCACAGAATCGCCGAAAGACGATTTCGATTTTTAAAGAGTCGTGTCCGACGAATGGCTTCCAGGTCCGCTTGTCCTCTTTGTAAAACCACCGGACTTCCTCTGCTCCCAGCTCTGTGACAATCTCACCGCGGTGCCTAGAGCTGTTTGAACGTAGGCGTTTCTTGGTTGTGATTTTCCCATCACTTTCAGTGTAGCTTGGATCAATGTCCAAATACGATGAGTTCGAATATTCCTCCCCAGCCAGGCCCAGCATTAGGCCATCCTGATGCGAATCCCCTCGTAATAACGGCAGGTGTCTGTCCACTGCGTCCCTGTCCCCAACACTATCTCCCGTCGGATTGTCTTCGTAGCCGGTTACAAATACATCATTTGCCATATCCCATTCACTACTGCTGACAGAGTTATTCTCGGAGCTCTGTTGGCGAATAGTCGTCTTTTCTTTCATATCGGTCATGGTCTAGTCGAGAATTATTGGACTCAATACATCGGAACTGTATAATGAAAATACGCAACGATGTCCCCTACTGTCTCCTATCTATCAACAGCTATGCCACTGTTATTACCAGATTAGCGGTTTCTTGCTTCCCAGCTGGTAACATCTGTACACAGAACTGTTTTGACTCTGTCAATATTTCTAAACATTACACCTAGAGATTTAAAAGCTATAGCTACCCGGACTGGTTAAACTTGCTGCCTTGTACCGTCTGTACGCATTCCCCTTTACATTTCTTGATGACCAAGGAATAACATTAATCGATGGACGGTACTAGCTAGGGTTGAATATATGTCGCTTCTCAATGTCAAGTCAACGACGACAACTTTATACTTCCCATTTGAATAATTAAAATAACGCTACATCCACGAGCTATAATGCAAAACAGAGTATACATATGAAAGGTAGTTTTTTTTACGGTTGCTCACTGTTATATTTACTGTATGTTTCAAAACATAGCTTGCATACAACTTTTTCAAGCTTAGTTTAAATTTATATGCTGTGCACACTTTTAATTTGAAGGCAAATTCACCGTAAGTGAGTTCCGGCTATGTCTCTCCTGCTTGACTCATAATAGTTTGAACATCAGCTTTCCTTTACATCTTGTTAATAAAAAGTTAGAAATGAACATATTCCTTCCATGCGACTATTACGTTGCTTTCTGCTTAATATACAAATGAACGATATTTGAAATTAGTCTAACTGGTTCTGTATAAGGGTAGTTCTTTACAACTTATATACCTTTCAGGCTACCGTACTTTTATTTCAGGGGTTCTTGTTATGGCTGTCATGGAAAATGTGTACAGGACGATGTTTTAATAAATTGGGTTCTTTTGCGAAGTTAATTATATGAAATGGCAGCAGTTTTGTTGGTGACCTTGTATGAGTACTCCCCGTTGTTTTACATTACTGTGGTTTCTTTGTGTTTTATTGTAACTGCCGCAATGGTGCTCGGCTGGTAAGTGATATTTAGCCAAGTTAGCTTAGCTACAATTCTGGTTGATTATTATTGACTACCGCGATTTATCTTTAACTTTAATCATTTATCATAATAGCTTGGCATATGAGATACGTTATTACCCTGAAAGTAGCCATTGTATTAAAATAAATATGTTAACGTCGGAGGCAACTATAACGTTAGCGCGCATGAACTGGTGTCTGTAGATTCTTCTCATCACAAAGTTACTCACTGGTAAAATTTTATTAGATAACTACGCACACTCTGCATCAAACAGCTGAAAAGTACAAATTAAATGTAATTATGACCAAATCATTTGCTAGACATGAACCATGACAGGACTTCTCAGCTTTTTATTGTTTCTCTTAGAAGAAGAGAAGAGAATAGAACAATGCAGAACGTGGTTATTTTGTACTCCTTCACCCTTGGTTCACTCTGCCTCCTGCCCTGTAGGGTTGGCTTTGATGTCCCAGTGATCCTTCGCAGGTCTGATGAGACAGAGTCCATCCTACCAACCTCTGAGAAGCAAATGGTTCAGGTGACCAACCCCTTTGCACTGGAGATGAGCTCTGGGCCATCATCTGTCACTGGTGAATATACTTGTCATCAGTAATATAATAGCACAGTGACGGATGGGTGAGGTTAGTCTAACTTGGATTTAAAATGTCCTGGGATGTTAAATCTAGAGATGGCAATTTAGAATCTTCAAAAGACAGGGCTCCAGACTAACATTTCATACTGGTGGCACCACCTCTGTTTTACAATGTAATGCAAAAGAATCTGTATTTTTCACAAATTATTTTAAATACCCTTGCCATCCAACTGCCTATATTTCTAATAAAATTCAGAGAGATGGAGACGCATTAGATAGATTGGAAGTCTTCATGAGAGGGCAAAGTGACAGGTAAACGCTGCAATGACAGTATCACTGAGTTTGTTACATCTGTCCACCATTTCTAAAGTGAGAGCACTTGTTCATACATAACCAGTTTGTTTTGCAGTCACACCCAGTGCGACCTCTGGAAAAAGTCAGTTGCACTTTAGATAAATTTGGTTGCAAACTGCGACTTATAACTCGCAGTCTGGAGCCCTGAAATAGTTTCGATACATTTGAAATGACAAGCGTTTTTAAATGGATAAAAACACTGGCTGTGCACAGACTACTGGCAAAATGCTCAACTGTAGCTGAAACAGCAGAACATTTCTGCAGTGGTCACATGACTGTTTTGTGAAACTGGACATCTCGAATGGCTTCAACACAGGTCAGTCCAGGGTGTCAAAATTGCCATCCCTAGGTAAACCCTCTGTCCATTCAGCAAATATAATAAAGCTTTACAAGAGAATGACAGTTAATCCCTCTTGTTCAAGTGTACTGTGGGTAAAAGACTCAGGTTATGCTATACAGCTCCCACATGTGGATATCCTCTGAATCAGTATGTAAAGCTAGTAAATCATTTATGTTCTGGGAATAAATGGAGTTTAGCACTGCTGCCTAACAGCAAGAAGGTTCTGGGTTTAAGCCTAGGCCCTTCCAACTCCACAAAGTCCATCCATTATCTATCTATACCCCTTATCTGAGGCCTTTCTGTGTGGAGTTTGCATGTTCTCCCTGTGCATGTGTGGGTCCTCTCCCGGTACTCCAGCTTCCTCCCACAGTCCAAAGACATGCAGCTTAGGTTGATTGGTATCTCTAAATTGCCCATAGGAGTGAGTGTGAGTGTGTGTGGTTGTTTGTCTACATGTCAGCCCTGTGATAGACTGGCGACCTGTCCATGGTGGACCCCGCCTGTTGCCCAAAGTCAGCTGGGATTGGCTCCAACCCCCCTGCGACACTGTTCGGGGATAAGGGGTATAGATAATGGATGGACTTTGTGGAGTTGGAAGCATTCATGTGATTGTATATATATATCGCTAATAAACCACTTGAACAGCTCTATATATGCAGGGTTTTGAATCCTGCCTCCAGAATTCCCACTCTGTATATATCCATTATTACCACTGAGTAGTACCATTATATCTTTTGTGTCTCAGGCCAAGGTAACATTAGCAAATGCTTCCTTGCAGATGGTGTTTCACTGAGGCCTTGCTGCCTGGAGTCCTGTGTTCTGAGCTGTTTCTGGGGCTGTGAGGTCACTGCCCTGCAGGGAGCACTGCAAGCTCACCAGCACAGCCTGAGGCTTAGCACCCCCCAGAATTTCCAAGAGGCATTACAGTTTCACTACCACCACTGCCAGAACTTCCAGTATCCTTTTCATTTTCATTTTCCTATTCCTTTTTTGATTATAATATTGGGTGCATTTCAATTCCCTTAATTAAATCCACATTTCCCTCACTTGCCTCTTTTCCTTGTGTCTTAGTCCCACCCACCAAAGATGCTAGGAGGGATGCAAGGAAAAGATGCAAGGTAAGAGAAATCATGAAATTACATTTTTAGAGACATGAGACATCCTTTCTTCTGATCCGTCATCTGAAGTGCCCAGTCACCAACTGATTTCTGTTGTCGGGTGTGTCAGTTCATAATAGACTTCCCTGAAGGATGGTCTCTTGTGTCCTTGCTCCTTAGAGCAGCCGTAAGGAAACTGAGATGTCCTTCAAGATGGTGGACTGGAATGACTTCTAGGTCAAGTGAAGAGTGAAGAATAAGGAATAATCAATTAAGGGAATTAGGATGTACCCAATGTCCAGGTTATTATCACCTGTTCTGAAATGGCTTCCCAGTCTAATCCCTATCATTTTAATACATTTAAGCTTTTTAGCTTGTATCCTTTTTATCTTATGAAGTGTCTTTGAATACATAAAGTTGATATGGACGATTTATAATATTGACCCAGTATTACTTCAGCAACAACAACCAATCAAGGCAGTCAGTGCTATCATTATATAATGGTGATATAATGCATACTTATAATGGCTGAGTTGTTTGGCTGAAATACAATGTTCCTAAAGTAGCTCTTGATGTTGGTCTCTTTGACCCCACCCTCCCAGTATTGGCAGTGAGGACAGAGAGGA